TTCCTGGTTTATGAGAAACTGACGGCTGCTACCTTCACAGTTATGGGACTGAAGAGTGCCCGCAAGCACTGAGACACCCCACACTGCAAAGTGCAGAAAAATGCTCAAGATGGGGGGTTCCTTCTGTGTGAAGGGAAGTGATTCCCTTTTTATTCTTGCTGTGTGCACCATGAATTTTACCCTCATTGGCTGGAAAAGCATCTAAGGGTAAACATGGAATATAGCCAGCTGGACCTGTCCACAACTTTAATTTTTAATTTTATGATGGTTGTTTGAATTTTGTGGGGGAGGTTAGTCTAATGGTCCTACAAAAAAAAACCATTATTGAAAACCTGAAGATGGAAGTTTGTGGGTGTTTATTGTTTTTCTTAAGGTGAATGGACTATTGCTCACAATGTGTAATCTTTTCCAGTTAAAATCTTTCTTAAATTTACCAGCTGTTCTTTTCCTCTGATTCTAGGGACACATTTAATACCATATAATTCTCCTCATATACTTTTGTATGTTTTAATCTTGGTATTTTCCTCACTAAAAATATTATGATTGTTCCACAGGCATGACTTTATTTTGTTGAACTTCTTTCCTCCTGCTTAAGGAAAGGTGTCTCCTTTAGTACATGAGCTATTTATTTTGTGGGAGAAATGAAAATGATTAATCCCAAATGATTCTCTTATAAACTATTTGTGAATATCACTTATTCATTAGTATTTGACATAATTAAAAATATTTATTTTGAATCAGCCCTTTCATTACAGAAGGCTTGAAGTTTTTATGTTCATCCATACAAGCCCCATCAAATCAAGCCCCAATAAACTGTCAACACAGAAGACATTTTAAAAAGATGCCCTTTATTCAGGTACCACATTGGGTTTACAACTAGCTCGTAAAAATCATAGAAAAGGGAGAAGGAGCAGGTACCCTGTTTAGGCTCTGGAATATTCTCTCCCTTTACAAAGTCTTGGTGGAGGCTATCTCTTTTGAGTATAAACATCTGATTGAGATTATTTCTATTTGGAAACATTTCTTATAGTCATACTATTCAAAGTATATGCATCAATCAGCAGCATTGACATCACCTGGGAGCTTGTTGAGCCTGCGGTCCCAGACCTTCTGAATCATAGTCTGCAGTTTAACAAGATCCCCGGGTGATTCATACTCACATTAAAGTTTGAGAGACCTTAGAGCCCTTGACTCAACAGAAGCTGTGATTGGTTTCAATGATAGAAACCAAGACAAAGATTTTTCTCAAAGGAAAGTTGGAATTAAGGGATTAAATAAACAGCCCCTGAGAAAACTGAGTGCCCCACATCATCCTTTACTTTCACCTCATAGCACGTTTGAAGGTGGTTGGACTTTTATTATGCAGCTAGGGGTGAATTTAGGCCTCTCAAGGCCACCCGAGAAGCAAACTCCGAGAGGTCATTTGAGAATAGCCCTTTGGGTTCCTGTGACTTAGTTTTTGTCCCTATAACCAAATGATAGGCTTTTCATTTGTAAGTCTAATTCAGTTGGAGTCAGAGAGAGGAACAATGAAGTGTCTATGGACTCCAGTATTTAGTTCAGTTTTGAAAGTGGAAATGTATTTCTCTTATTTCCTCTCTGGTCCCTGTGGTAATTTCAAAATATGTGATTATCAAGCTCCTGATAATTGGAAGATGGTTGTGTTGTTCTAGAAAGCAAGATTTAGGAGGGGCTCATAATCTGGGAACTAGACTGAACACTAGTCCCCTATTGAAGACAGAGAATTGCCCTCATTCTACCCTTTATTTTACTTTAAGGTTTGTGTGTGTCTGTGGTAAGGCTTGGGTGGGAAGCACAAAACTTACTTTGATTTCTATGCAGGAGAAGAATGAACATAAAGGTGCAATGTGTGTGATTTTGTTGTTTTAATTATGCAGTTCACTTTGGAAACTGAATTTTGAACTCAGGTTGGTATGTTAGAATAATTTCCAAGTCAAATTACATAGTTAAATGAAATGTTTATGATGTGAAAATCTATTTGATGCTTCTTTTTTCTGATTTTATGAGCGAACAATTTAATACTGAGGTTTTATGCTCCCTATGAAAGGAAGCTTACAGACTCACTAGTTGAAACTAGGTAATGACTCACCCAGTTTTGTAAAACCTTTGATTAATAATAAGTTATTTGAGAAGACTAAGGAGCTGAAGTGTATGCTGCAGAAATGGAAATTTTTATTTTTGATTCTTCATGCAGTTTCTCTAGAATGCGAGGATAAGAGCCTTTGGGGTTATATTAGTGTCACTGCAGTAGAAAATTTAATTTCTGTAAGTATTTAATCTGTGTTCTGAAGTGGACACTGATATTTCTATCCTCCTCTATTTTACAATTAAGTTTGAAATGCAGAAGCAGGATTGGTAGTAAGAACATAAGCAGTGGGAGCTAGAATCTGGGGTTTTATTCCCAGCTCAACCACCGACTGACTAGCACATTACGTCATCTCCTTATGCTTCAGCTTTCTGATGAGTGAAGATAATACTTGCTACCCACTTGAGAGGATGTTTAAGAGCTAATGATGTCAACTAAATCCCTTTATGATCGCCAGAGAGGGAAAATCTGAGTGAAACTTTTGACTGTGCCTAGATTTATATAGCAGTTTTTCTTAAAGCTTCAGCACTTTCTTATAACCCCCATATCTCTGTGAAGGACAAGGAACAGGGTCCCATTTAAGGAACAAGGAAATCGAGACAGAACTATCAATTGACTTGCCTCGTTGGAATCAGGACAAGAGTTGAGTTTCCTGCAGTCAAGTGTAAGGATGAAAAGAACGGATTCTGGAATTAGACCTAGGTTCAGCTCTGGCCCCACTCCTTACCAGCTGTGAGAACAAAGTGATTACTGAACTTGTATAAAACTCAGTTTCCTCAGCTGTGAAATGGAGGTCTTGATAAACCTACCTGTGATTGTGAGGATTAAAGAGATCATATATATAAATTGCTTAGCACAGTGCTTGCCATGTGAGAAGAGCTAGATAAATATAAGCAACGACTTTTATCCTGATACGATTATTACTGTCGAGGGGGCTGGCTGTTTGAATAGATCACACCAGTGAGTGGGAATCACTCTGGGTTTTGAGCCAGACCTGGGTTCAGATTTTCATTCTGTTGCTTAATAGCATCCTGGCCACAGACAAGTTGCTTGCTCACCTTTCTGAATCTGTGTCTTCATCTGTCCGATGGAAATGATTACCTCACAAGGCTGTAATATATGTACAGATATATATATCTTCTTTAATCCTCAGAACAGCCTTGCAAGGTAACCCTTTCTACTGGACAGATGGAGAGATATATACGTGTGTCTGGCACAGTACATGAAATATATATATATGCTTAATGCTGGTTTTTATATTGAGATATATACAACATTATATTAGTTTTGGGTATACAACATAAAGATTCAATACATGTTTATATTGCAAAACAACCACCACAATAAGTCTAGTTAACATCTGTCACCAAAATGTCCATCAGATAAATGCTGTTTGAACCAAGAAGATCAGCTAGGTTTTACTTTGGGGCAGTCTTTCCTCTTTCCATTTGTGTGAATTGTGGCCATTTCTTTTCTGGGAGCCTTATCGGTGTATCTCCTCAAAAGAGAAGTCGAAACCTGTAATTTCATGTTTTGTTCAATATTCAAATTAAGCCCCCCAAATATTGATCAGTTAATCAGTAAAATACAAACTGGTTCAACAGCAGAAAGTCACTGGCTGTGATAGTGTCTCATCTTGACTCTCTGGAAAAACTGGGAAGAGTGCCTTTGTGGAGCCCAATGCCACACATCTAAGGAGAGCCCTTCCTCTGGGCAGGTGAATTACTTACCTGGCAATGTTAAATGTCAGCAGGATACCAAATATATACAAAGGCTCAATTATAGCATATTTACATATGCAGTACATATAACTGTGACTTGTACGGTTTTTACCACCATCGGAGTGAAAAGGGCCTTGGGTTATACTGGTAGCCCCTGAAAAGCTTGTTCAGTGGGACATAATGGACAAGAAAAAAAGTTTTCCACGGACTGGGCAAGAGAAGGAAAGAAAGTTACTATTTAAAGACAAAATGAGGGGTGCCTGGGTGGCTTAGTCAAGGGTCTGCCTTCGGCTCAGGTCATGATCCAGGAGTCCCGGGATCAAGCCCTACATCAGGCTCCCTGCTCAGTGGGGACTCTGCTTCTCCCTCTCTCTCTGCTGCTCCCCCTGCTTGTGCTCTCTCTCTCTCAAATAAACAAATCTTAAAAAAAAAAAAAAAAGACAGAAGGTGAAAAGGAAATTAGAAGATGGAAATGGGAGTAGGAGCTCCCTAGTGAACCTAGAGACACTCTGCTACTTGAAAGATCATTTCCTGTCCTGAAAGAACTTGTATCTAGCAGAAGACATGTCTTGGATTTTGAATTGCAGTAGTCTGTCTGTATCTCTGTCTTCCCCTAGATAAAAGCTTTTTATTTTTTAAAAAATAAAAGAGTGTACATGTTTTTAGAATTCTTGCACTCTGGTGTTTTCTTGGTTGTTGATTTTCAGTTTTTCAGATTTCCTTAATTAGTTCACAATTTTTTTTTTAAGATTTTATTTATTTATTTGACAGAGACACAGCAAGAGAGCGAACACAAGCAGGGGGAGTGGGAGAGGGAGAAGCAGGCTTCCCACCGAGCAGGGAGCCTGATGCGGGGCTCGATCCCAGGACCCTGGGATCATGACCTGAGCCAAAGGCAGACACTTGACGACTGAGCCACCCAGGCGCCCCAGTTCACACTTTTTTGAGTATACTTTATTTTGCTAAGTCAATTGACTCCTTTATCCTTCATTATTTCTTTACTTTAATTGGAGTCATCAAAATTATCTACCTTGTGGTACACCAAATTCTTTCATGTGTGCTTTATTCTTGTTTTGCTTTAGTTTTTATAGACGCCATTGGCAGAGTAGATGGCCAGCCAAGTAGGTGATTCCCTATGGAGGAACTTTTATTGCAGATTCGTATTCTAGGAATAACATTTTATCCATTTATTCAAGAAATATTACCTATCATATCCAAGCACTATGCACAATTGCTGGGATTATCCAGTCTCTGTCTTCATATAGCTCATTGTGCAGTATGGGAGACAGACAAAAAACAACTTGGAATTTTACCACTGAGTTCTGATGAGAAATGTAAGTGTTCACAGTTGCTTCGGGAGCGTGGAGAGGCTGGGGCTGACTGTCTTCGTCTATGTGATCAGAAGGCAACCTATGAATTAGCGACATACGAAGAAGTAGGTAAAGGACCTTCTTGACAGAAGAAATAAATAGCATTTGCAAAGTAGAAACAGGATGATGCTTTGTACCTTGTACATTGAATTAGATCTAGACACTTCTCAACCTAGATCTTGGAGTTGAACACATGTTGGACTTGGGAAGGGGTGGAGCATCTTCGGGTCACTGAGAGCCTGCAACAAGGGAAAAGAGGTGTTTATGACCCTCAATTTTTGACAGTTTTGACTACAGTTACACTTGGATCTAAAGAAGAAAGATACATTCCTATAACTATGAATTTAAAATCTAATTTTACACATATTTTGAAAATTAGACATAACACAATCATTTAGTTCCACCTCTGTGAAGATAGGCCAGCAGGAGCGGTTCAGGCTTACTGAGAACTGCTGTTACTGTATAGACTTACACGTTATCTTGATCAATATGGAAATGTTTACTTGGTAAACAGTTTGGAGCCAAGTTGAGGCTAAAATCCTGAATACTTTCTCATGCATTTGTTAGTGTGTTAAAAATTAAAAAAGCAGGGTGCCTGGCTGGCTCAGTTGGTAGAGCAAGCAACTCTTGATATTGGGGTCATGAGTTCTAGTCCCATGTTGGGCGTAGAGATTACTAAAATAAATAAATAAATAAATAAATAAATAAATAAATAAATAAATAAA